AGCGGCGGCGGCGGCACCGGGCCCGGCGGAGGCCCCGGGGCCCGCAGGGGCAGCGCGGGCCGGGACGCGGAGGCCGAGGTTTGGTGCCGGCGGGTGCGGGAGCTGGTGAGCGCCGTTCCCGCCAACCGGCTCTGCTTCGAGTGCGGCCAGCGCGGCGTCACCTACGTGGACATCAGCGTGGGCAGCCTCGTGTGCACCGGCTGCTCGGGGGCGCTGTGAGCGGGGCGGGGCCGAGGGTGAGGGCGGGGCCGGGAGGGGCGGGGCTCATTGACACCTGAGCGCGGTGGGCGGGGCTGCCATTCATGTCTGCTACCCTTGGGGGCGGGGCTTAGGGGAGGGGGCGTGGCCGCGGCACGTGGCTTCGCACGCTGGGGTTGTTTTTTGGGAGAAAAAAGCTGAATTTTTGGTGTTTACGCGCTCAGGGCGGGGCGCTGACCCCCCGAATCCCCACGCAGGCGGGGGCTGAACCCCCCCCACCGCGTCAAGTCCATCTCCATGACGACGTTCAGCGAGGCCGAGGTGCTGTTCCTGCAGGCGCGCGGCAATGAGGTAAGGCGGCGCCTGGGGGTCCCTGCCCTCTCCGTCCCACCCTGCCCGCGTCCCCACGACCCCTCCTCAACGCCCCCAGGCCTGCAGGAGGGTCTGGCTCGGCACCTTGGACCCCCGGGCGTCGCTGCTGCCCGACTGCCGCGACCCCCAGAGGCTGAAGGAGTTCCTGCAGGAGAAATACGAGAGGAAGCGATGGTAGGAGAGGGGCTGGGGGCACCTTTAGCACAGGTGAGCCCCCTCCGCCGACGCTCCGCCCTCCCGTGGCAGGTACGTGGCACCACAGCCGGCCAAAGAGCAGGTGAAGCCCCCCCAGAGCGCCGCAGCAGAGCCGGGGCCCCCCCAGCCCCTCCACGGGGACACCGGGGCGCTGCCGCAGGTGGGAGCGGGCCCCTTGCGGGGGTGCCCGGGGGTCTGGCACCCCCTGACCCTGCGGTGTGCCCCCCCAGGGCCATGCCCAGCCCGGCAAGGCCAGCACCGACCTGCTGGCTGACATCGGGGGGGACCCCTTCGCCGCCCTCCCTGGTGAGCGGGGGGCTCGGGGGGCTCTGGGGGGGCATCCCCATGGAGCACTGGGGGGCACGGTGCCCCCCGAGTGACCGCAGCCCCCTCCCCAGCCCCGTCTGCCTTCCCCAGTTTGGACGCCTTCGGCAGCAGCGCTGGAGCACCCCCGTTTGGGGGGGCTGTGCCCCCCTTCCACGTCCCCCCCACCACCGCAGGTACCCTGAGACCCCCCCCCGGGGCTCCTGGAGAGGGTTTGGGGTCCCTGTGGGGGCCAGCGAGGCCTGGAATTTCTGGGGAGGGGGGAAGGAGCCCCCCCACCTCACTGCGGGGGTGGGGAAGGAGTTTTGGGGCCCCTCCCCCCCGGGGTCAAGGGTTACGGGGAGGTTTTGGGGGCTCTGTCGCTCTCAGGGGTCTCAGGAATTTTGGGACCCCCCCCCCATGGCTCCTCTCTTGCACCTGCAGGAGGCGTGGCTGCACAGGGCGTGGCCACGCCTGTCCCGCCCACAGGGGGAGGAGCTTCTGCCAGGTACTGCCCCTCCCCCCGCGCCTTTCCAGCCCTGCAGGACCCTCCCCTCCCCCCTCACGGCTGCCCCTCCCCCTGCAGCCTCTTCGGGACCCTCCGTGACCCCCCAGCGCTGCCCCACGGGGGTGAGTCAGGCTTCACCCCCATTTCCCACCCCTCAAAGTGAGGGGGGGCTCGGGGGTGACACCTGTGCCCCCCCCCACCCAGGATACACCAACCCCTTCACGGCCCCCGTGGCCCCCAGACCCTCCACCAACCCCTTCGAGAGCAGCGGCCCCGGTGAGTGACCCCCAGACCCCCAGGGTGGGGTCTGGAGCCCCCCATTGCCAACCAGGGTGGGGTCTGGACCCCCCTGACCCCCCCCAGCCCCTCATTCCTGACCAGGGTGGGGGTCCCAATCCTTTGTCCCCTCTTTCAGGTGCTGCCTTCACCTCGCCCCCCATTCCTGGGGGCTTCCCCAGCCCCTTCCAGGCCGATGGTAAGAGCCGGGGGGTTAAATAATGTTAAATATATTTATATATCTGTATAAACTGCCCACCCCCCCTGACTGACCCCTCCCCATTTCCCCCCAGGTTTGCCTTTCGGCGGCTTCGGCGTTGCCAAAGCTTCCACCAACCCCTTCGTGGTGAGGAGCGGGGCTCGGGGCGGGGGTCCGGACCCCCTTTCCCCACCGCTGACCCCTCCTTGTGCCCCCCCAGACGGTCCCGGCCCCGACGGCGCCGTTGGGCACCAGGCACCGGGCCACCAACCCGTTCCTATGACCGCCGCTGCTCTGGGGGGCCCCGGCAGCGCCCACCCCTCCGCCGGGACCAGGTTTTGGGTTTGTTCCGGGAGATTTATCGCGGTGTTTAATACGTGACCGGTAGAAACGGCGCTGATCCCGCTGCGTGCCTCGCGCTGCCCCGCTGAAAGCTCCCCGGGCCCTCACGGGGCATGGCTGTGCCCTCACGGCTGTGCCCCCGGTAAAAATGGCGGCCAGAGGAGCCTCCCCTCACGGTTTTCCCCTCACGGCTGTGCCCTCACGGGTCGGGTTCCCCTCACGGTTGTGCCCCGGTAAAGATGGCAGCCACGGGACGGGCTCCCCTCACGGTTTTCCCCTCACGGCTGTGCCCTCACGGCTTTGCCCTCACGGTTTTGCCCCCGGTAAAGATGGCGGCCATGGACGAAGCCTCCCCCTCACGGTTTTGCCCTCATTAAACATGGCGCCCCCACAGCCGCCTACCCGCCCTCAGCCAAGATGGCGGCCGGCGCCTCACCGCTGAGGGCACGGCCGTGGCGGCCTGCCCTCAACAAAGATGGCGCCGAACCTCGATTGGGGGGGATTAACGGAGAGGAATTAACGGGGGGCCCTCATTAAACATGGCGCCCCCACAGCCGCCTACCCGCCCTCAGCCAAGATGGCGGCCGGCGCCTCACCGCTGAGGGCACGGCCATGGCGGCCTGCCCTCAACAAAGATGGCGCCGGACCCCCGATTTGGGGGGGATCGGGGAATTAACGGAGGGGAATTAACGGGACCACCGGGAGCGGGGGAGGGGCATTAACGGGGCCACCGGGAGCAGGGGAGGGGCATTAACGGGGCCACCGGGGGGGGACGGGCGCCCCCAGCCGCCCCCGCGGGGCCCGGGCCGGGCTCGGCTCCTGCAGCACCTGCCGGGGAAGGGCGGAGTTAGCGGCGGTGCTTTGGGGAGGGGGCGACACGGGGCAGCGCAGCACAGCTGGGGTGGGGTGGGGGGGCGTCCCCTTTTGGGCACAGAAAGGGCGAAAACGGACAAAAACAAAAAGCTGAGCGCTGGCAGCGGGAGAGGGGCAGGACTGAACCCCCCCGTCCCAGGGTTTGGTCCCGGCCCTGACCGGAGCGGCACAAAGGGACCGGGATGTACCAAGTGGGATCTGGAGGAGGTACCCACACTCAGAAACAAAATTGTTATAATAACTAGAGTAACAGCCCTATCGTAGTTAAATATAATAATTTTAATAATAATTAATTACAATAAATTTTGGTCATCCGCATTTTAGTGTTCTCTCACCGTAATTAACTGTAATAATTAACTTAATATGCTCACAGTCCTGTATAACAACTCATTATAATACCTCATTATAATAGCGACAGCTCATTATAATAATAAAACTCATAATAATAACTCGTCATAATTAATCATAATACCAATAATTAAGGGGGGGTGCACAAGGGGTGGGGGTAAAAAAATGGGGGGCAGGGGGGTGATTCTTGGGGTCATGGGCTACAAAAGGGGGTTTATGGGGGGTTTTGGGGTTCAGAGGGGGGTTTGGGGTTCAAGGGGATGTTTTGGGTCAGTTTTGGGGTGGTTTAGGGCAGTTTTGGGGTGTTTTAGGGCAGTTTTAGGGCAGTTTTGGGGTGTTTTAGGGCAGTTTGGGGTGTTTCACTCATGGCCCAGGGCCGCAGCCGCGCTGTTTTAGGGCAGTTTTAGGGTGTTTTTAGGGCAGTTTCGGGGTGTTTCTGGGTCAGTTTTGGGTCAGTTTTGGGGTTCACGGGGTCAGTTTTGGGGTGCACTCATGGCCCAGGGCCGCAGCTGCACTGTTTCAGGATGTTTTTAGGGCAGTTTCGGGGTGTTTTTAGGGCAGTTTTTTTGTCAGTTTCAGGGTTCAGGGGACAGTTTTGGGGTGTTTTGGGTCAGTTTTGGGGTGTTTTAGGGCAGTTTTGGGTCAGTTTTGGGTCAGTTTCGGGGTGTTTTGGGTCAGTTTCGGGGTGGTTTAGGGCAGTTTTGGGTCAGTTTCGGGGTGTTTTAGGGCAGTTTTCGGGGTGTTTTAAGGGACCGGGATGTACCAAGTGGGATCTGGAGGAGGTACCCACACTCAGAAACAAAATTGTTATAATAACTAGAGTAACAGCCCTATCGTAGTTAAATATAATAATTTTAATAATAATTAATTACAATAAATTTTGGTCATCCGCATTTTAGTGTTCTCTCACCGTAATTAACTGTAATAATTAACTTAATATGCTCACAGTCCTGTATAACAACTCATTATAATACCTCATTATAATAGCGACAGCTCATTATAATAATAAAACTCATAATAATAACTCGTCATAATTAATCATAATACCAATAATTAAGGGGGGGTGCACAAGGGGTTCAGCCCCTCCCCTTTCCCTGCCTCAGTTTCCCCAGCGTTAAGGCACAAGAAAAGAAAGGGGGGGGGCAAGGAAAGGTGCAAAGGCGGGACCCCCACGGGGGTCTGGGGGTCCCCCGGGGGTCGGGGGGCTCCCCGTGATTTTGGGGGGCCTCCCGGGGGTCCCTCAGCAGCCAAAGAGCGCGCGGTGGGCGGCCACGAGCAGCGCCATGAGGAGGCCGTAGAAGAGGGCGAAGAGCAGCCCGGGCGGGGGGCGCCGGGGGTCGGGGGGCTTCGCCTGGGTCGGGGGGGGACCCCGCGTCAGCCTGGGAGGGCGCGGGACCCCCCCCCCCAATTAAACACCCCCCCAGAATGAACGGTACCTCGGGGAGCCCCGAGCGGCGGCAGGGCGGCGGCGTCCGGCGGGGGCTGGGGGGGCTATGTATGGGGGGTTTTGGGGTTCAGAGGGGGGTTTGGGGTTCAAGGGGATGTTTTGGGTCAGTTTTGGGGTGGTTTAGGGCAGTTTTGGGGTGTTTTAGGGCAGTTTTAGGGCAGTTTTGGGGTGTTTTAGGGCAGTTTGGGGTGTTTCACTCATGGCCCAGGGCCGCAGCCGCGCTGTTTTAGGGCAGTTTTAGGGTGTTTTTAGGGCAGTTTCGGGGTGTTTCTGGGTCAGTTTTGGGTCAGTTTTGGGGTTCACGGGGTCAGTTTTGGGGTGCACTCATGGCCCAGGGCCGCAGCTGCACTGTTTCAGGATGTTTTTAGGGCAGTTTCGGGGTGTTTTTAGGGCAGTTTTTTTGTCAGTTTCAGGGTTCAGGGGACAGTTTTGGGGTGTTTTGGGTCAGTTTTGGGGTGTTTTAGGGCAGTTTTGGGTCAGTTTTGGTGCATTTTCGGGGTGTTTCACTCACGGCCCAGGGCCGCAGCCGCGCTGTTTCGGGGTGTTTTAGGGCAGTTTTGGGTCAGTTTTGGGTCAGTTATGGGTCAGTTTTAGGTCAGTTTCGGGGTGTTTTGGGTCAGTTTCGGGGTGTTTTAGGGCAGTTTTGGGTCAGTTTGGGTGTTTCACTCAAAACACCCAGGGCCGCGGGGGGGTTGTTTCAGGGTTCGGGGGTCAGTTTCGGGGTGTTTTAGGGCAGTTTTGGGGTGTTTTGGGTCAGTTTCGGGGTGTTTTAGGGCAGTTTTGGGGTGTTTTATGTCGGTTTTGGGGTGTTTTAGGGCAGTTTTGGGGTGTTCCACTCACGGCCCAGGGCCGCAGCCGCGCCGCCACGCGCCCCAGCAGCTCGGGGTCCCCCAGCTCGTCCGGCAGCCGCAGCTGCAGCAGCGCCTCCAGGCTCTGCAGGGTGGGGGGCACGGCGGGGACCCCCCCGGGCGGCTCAGGGGGGGGGGCGGGC